GTTATTATGTTTAATTGCAAGATTTTGTGCTATTTCAAAACTGGATGTTCATGTGTATGTATGCTTTTCATTTACTTACACCATCTTCATCAGTAAGTACAGGAAGTGAGGGTTGAGCACCATCTCCTTGTACCAGCATTCCAGTTGTACCGCCAGGAGACATTTCAACCTGAAACAAATATAGTGATCTATAAACTATGACATCAGACTCAGACAAGGTGAAATAAAAATTAGATTGAATAAATTCAGCTATTACTAGGTCTAGTTTTTTTTTGCAAAAATGTCAATGTACGTGGCTAATTAATCCTCACTAATATTATTAATCGGAAAGTGAGTTTGTTTGTGTGTTTGTTTGTTCCACTTTCACGCCGTAACTACTAAACCGATTGCTTTGAAATTTCGCAGACGTAAAGTTAGAAGTCTGGATTAAATAATAGGGTATTTTTATCCCGGAACAATTTGATATTCCCGAGGGAAAACCAAAATATTGGTACAGATAGCGCTGTGTGTACTGGTATATATGGCGACCTAATTCGAAATTTCACGCTTTAATCTATAGCGCTACATACACTTATTCGGTATATGTATTCTTGCAAATAAATGAATTTGAATTTGAATTTGAATCGGTGCACTTTTCGACTCATTCATTTGCTGTTTAATTGGTATCTATGTAGTAGTGAAGAAGTTACGATGCTTAGCGATAGATGGCGCCTGGGTTCTCAGAACTTCTCATTCCCGTGGAAAAATCTAAATAGCGCGATATAACCGAATTACACGCGAGCGGAAAGCTGTTTGTTAGTTTGCCGTCGTAAACGGCAAAACGGAGGTGAGCTAACGTGATTTTTTAACTGAAGGTAGTGTGTACCTTTTGTAACGCGAGCGAAGCCGCGGGTAAAAGCTAGTAAAGGAATAAATATAAAAATCGGTAAAATACCTTCATAAGCATAGTACCAGCCAGCGCTTCTGGGGCTGGTGGTGGCGTTGGCGGCGGCGATGGTGTCGGCGGCGGCGTGGGCTCTCCCTCCGCGCGCGCCAGTCGCCGCCCCGTCAGTGGACACAGAGTCAGCTCGCGCTCCGGGCTCGGAGGCGGCAGCGGACCCAACTGACGCGGGAACGGATCCTCGATGCCATCAGACGTGTCAGATGACGCATCCGACTACAACCATTCCACAATTTTATTTGTGTTTCATATACAATAAACACTATTAAAATCACAAACAATACACTATAATATCGGCACTTCTAAAATTGAATTTATTAAGAACTAGAATGATAGCGATTCCACTGTAAAGCTGAAAATGCGAACACAATATGCATCATAATAAAAACATCTACTACTACTATTTGAATGAAATATATCTAAAACTCACACAGGACAGATGTATTCAGGTTCATTTCAAAACGTTGATGTCGTTCACAGCAAAACGAAAAGAAATAATGTACTAAAATAAATGATGCTAACCTGCTCGAACTCTAACAGAGGAACTTTGTCACGGATCCGTACAATGTTCCCGCCAGCCGTAGTAGCCACGGAATATCCTCCGCGGCCGCGCCCCCGGCCTGACCCGCCGCGCCGCAGTAAACTGTCGCCCTGTGCAGTCAATCTCTTTGTTACTCAATTGTTATTTATTAGTGTAACTTATTATTAGTATGAAGCTAGTTAATTTCCTAGCATGATTTTGTTAATCACTTCTATTCCTTAGTTGACTGGATAAGGCAACATTATAGGGCATTGAGGAGAGTAATGGTAATACATACAAATATAAAAGACATACATTACTACATACTTTGAACTATTACAATTTCTACAATTTCTAAACATTCAATTTACTACAATGTCAACTAATACAGTTAACTTACCTGTGCAAGTTTCTTGTTGAGTATGGTGACAGGTGACTTTCCTTCAGCACCTTGACCTGCTGGTCTTTGAATAGTGCGCTGAATAATCTTTTGTCCTGAAGGAGTAATTATAGTCTTCTCTGTCACTTGCTGTCCTCCAGAACCATAAGTTTTCTTTATCTGTAGTAACATTAGATTTTCAGTAAATTGTATGATTTCATACATTACCTAACAAATATTGTACTACACAAGTACTTCTCAAAGATCAATAATGTATTTCATCAACAAAATATATTAATTTTACCTGTGATGTCATTGGTGTGCGGATAGGGGATGTTTTCTTGGCTTCTTCTAATTTTTTCTGAAAGTAAGTATTTGTTTCAAGCATATTGTCTAGCATAAACACATGTAAATAACATCATGCACATGAAAACAAGTAATACCTGTTTAGCTGCTAATATCTGTTTCCGAATCACATCCTGATCTATATTTAGACCCGGTCCTAATTTCCCAGGCGAATCAATCTTCATAATTCCTGAACTCTTCGACATTATATACACACCTGGTAAAAAGAGTTACTATAGTTATACAAACTGTAATGTTAAGAGCAAAGCCAGCACATACATCGCTGTTAACAAAGTGATATCAAAAATCGCATTCCAAACTATTAAATACCTGTGGTAAGATTAGGCATATGTTTAGGGTCAACCTTAATGACGCCCTTTATGTTCGGCATGCCTTTTCCCGCGAGACCAAGTGATTTCACCAGCTCAGGGTCCAGAGTGGACTTTGTTGGCGAAGATTGACCATTCAGCAATTTCTTGTCAGCTGAAATGTTTACTATGTTAAATATTTATCAGTACTGGGCCTTGCTATTTCAATGACATAAGTATACAAAGAGATGACATATAGTACAGCATGCATAAAAAGTTATTAAACAATGAGTGTGCTAGCTGAAATTGTATAATTCTTTATACCTTTAGTCGAGTCAGGGTCAGAGTAGTCCTCATCTTCACTGGATAATTCCTTTTTCACTTTCTTGGCAGCTGGTTCACCATCCTCAGCACCACACCATGCCTTAACTTGATCTAAAGCGCGAACTTTGCTAGTGCGCTGAAGACGTCTGCAAAATAAAAAAAGTATTATTGTTAAGCAAATGAAAATATAAAAACTTTATAAGAAAAAAAATTACAGCAATGTTAATATTATGTTAGATATAAATAAATTATAATAATATGGTACATACCCAGATGGTGTAACTGCAGGACTCTCAGATTTCTTCACCACTTGCTTGACAACTTGAGGTAAGGGTGTACTAATTTGTTTCACCTAATAACAAAATCGAGGATAAGAATTAAGTCTAGAATAAAATGACCAAAAACATTTACATTAAGTTATTTCACAACTTTGCCAAATTGATTTGAGTATTAATTTAAAACATTTAGGAACCCAATACTGACCTGCACTGGATGCTGTTGCTGCTGTTGTTGTTGAGCTCTGAGAGCCTTGAGTTCCTTCTGACGTGCCAGCTGCTTCTCAAATGCTTCCAATAAATGTTTACAAGTCTCCATATTTTCCACAGGTTCCCAAGTATTTTGCTCACTGAAAAATTGGACATTTATAATTATTCTTGCTATTGTAGTTATTTAAATGGGTACAATATGGTATAAGTAGTTGATGTAATGCTTACTGTGGATATCCCTCCCATTTGAGCAGGTACTCATACTGCTTCCGACGTGGATTAAATCGCTTAGCCAAGATCTTCTCCACAACATATTCTCCAGCCTCAGTAGGATCGCCCTGGCGCTCAGTACGACGCGCAATCCTCTCCTCAGGTGGAACTCGCTCTTGGGCATTACGCACAGACTCATTCAACTCCTAAAAAAAAACACAATTAGTACAAATTAAGTTCAACTAATACTGTAAAACACCACCCCCATGAAAACAAGAAAGCAGTGTGAAATAAATGAGTGAATATAATTTTGATCCATTGGAAATTCTGAGATAAATGTTAATAATATAATTTATCTTTATCAATTTATATATACAAAATTTGTTATGATCTTGGTCTCTATTAAATTTAGATTAACTTAGTAAAAACAATTACTAGTTGTATCCTATTAAACTTGTATTGTCATAAAAATCAAGTAAGTACCTTAGTTTTGTTAAGATTTTGTGGTATTGGTACTTTTTGGACATTCTTCAGTCCAGGGCTAGCTTTAACAATATCGTCACTTTCTTCCCCTGAGGGTTGTGTTTCAGAGTCCTCCTGCAAGATTGTGTTAGTAATGAGTGTTAGAGGTAGCAACATGGTTCAAAGACAGATAGACTGCAATATAAGCATACCGGCTTGGGTGTCTTCCTCGGTCTGCCTCGTCTCTTAACTTCATGCTGTACTGGTGTTTGAACAGGAACTAGTTGATCTTCAGTCTTAACTTCCATCTGTATTCAAATTCAAAAATAATTAACAAAAACATTTTCAAAAAGGAATCTAACAATGTATAAAGTAGTAACAACTTACAACTTTAGCATGTGCAAATTTAGACAGGGCCTGGACATTAGATCCAGCTGTAATCCAAGCAGTCCGTTGAGCCTCTGCCATGCGGCACCACTGCTGGTATAACTTCCAGCTGTTGTCTGTATTCACAGTGGAGCCGTCACGGACAGATGAGCACTTCCATAGTAGGAAAGCCCACACTTGCGCTTTGCTTTCATTCTGAATGTACAAAAAATTAATAAACATTACTGTTTTTAAATCTGAAATAGTACACAATTATGTATTATTTTCATAAATATGGCATACTCACACTATCCCTAACAGGAGATTTTCCTGTACAATTGTTGGCATCCTTGTGTTCTTTAAAATCCTCAACGAAATGGAATGCTGAGTGGCACTGGCCACACACCAAAACATCTAGAGTTGCCATTTGTTCATGAGCCTCTGAAAGAGAAATTAAAATAGGTATGTTTTGTTTAAACAGTTGGATAAATGTTCTGTATTAAATTCAGTAGTAATAGATATGAAATTGTTTTAATAGACTTTAAATTCTTTATAAAAAACTGTTTTGATTAATATAGCTATTAAGTTACATTTCTTAACTATTTGAATAATAAATGAACTGGTCCCTTAAGAATGGCATATAATAATAAAATTATATCATCATTATCGTTATAACATAAATTACCAAAAATACCTAATTGATAACCAACTCAAATTATAAGGTTATAATAACATAAAATATGTATTGTTTGCCTTTCAAGAACACCATAAAGCCTAATTGGGACAAATTAGTTCTTGACATAATCATGGTATTAACCATGCATGCATTTTGATATATATGTTAGATATAAAATTTTAATTTAAGTAAACCATTGTTGAATAGTTGTTTACCTTTCAAAGCTGTCGGATTTTTAGTTAGCTCGTCTGGATTTCCCGCCGGCACCTCCTCCGGTGGCGTCTCGCCTTCTTCTACAGAGGTCATTGTCGAGTATTTACACGACGCTACAAAGAAGAAACACTATAAAGTCTTTATGTTTACGATTATAGTCATCAAATCTGATGCTCAGTGCAATACATAACAGATAACCTTAATTTACACCGGCAAATTCCCGCCAACTCATGTCATATAAATAATAAAATATCGACAAATTTTACAGCAATAAGAAATCTTTTATAGTAAAACACAATTGTTACACCGTCTATTACAAGAACTACACAAACATTTAATCATTATTATCACAAAAATAATGTATTTGAACTCCCGTGACACAAATCAACGCTCATTGCACTATACTGCCATCGTTGCGATAAAATTAGACGCTTCTTTGATAATCACTTGATAAATATGCTAATATTTAGGAGATTTTATTATTCAATTCACGTGTATTTTATATAAATTACACCACCAAGACAATGTCACTTACCAAAACAATATTTTTTTCTAAAATAATGAAACTTTTCAGAGAATGCAACGCAAAACGGAACAAATCACATCAACAATCGAATGTTTAATGAGGATAAAAAACGTTTTGCCGACACGCTCAAGCTGCCACCTAGCGATCGCCGACAAATGTTGTTCTCTTTTGGACTTCAACATGTAACAGCCAATAGCAACGCGGCAATTATGTATTTCAGCCAATCAGCAATTATTACTGCTCTGCGCATACTATAACATACTTGCTGTTTCGTAATAGCCACTCGGTTTGACCGACACGTGCTATTTAATCACCACGTTTCGCCGACAACCCTTTATGCTATATTATATTTCAGTAATTTGCTCACTATGTCGTTGAAAATTATTGTTTATTTGTAAATTATACAATAAACAACTTATTTGGTCATATGGTGTTATGAATAAACAGTCCAATTAATATGTTGTTCCCTAATTTCATTGCATTATTTAGTATTTCATAACGATGAATGCCACTTTTTAGAAGTAATGACTAGCTAAATGAAGTGATTCTAGACATTCAACATGATAGATATCATCTCGAGATCATGTAGCATTGTAATTAATTCTTTTATTTCGAAGTAGGTTATATTTTGACTAAAACTATGTATGAATAATGAAAAATATTATTACCTACCTAACAAAATCCAACCAGTTCCTAGTAAATTATCACAAAAGCAGATTGAATAGGTACCTATTTACTTCGATAAGGAACATATAAATCAACCGACTAAAATTAAATGTAGCTAGTACAGACCTAAGTAAGAAGTATGTGTTATAGCACTATGTGAAATAGCTGGTGAGATTCGTAAAAAAAAAGTAAAGCCGATCTTACGAGAAATACCTAGCTCCGTAACGTACTCTAGATTTTTAGCCATGTAGGTGCTTAACTGCTTGTTTAACCAGATCAGCCAGTATTTTTCTCAATTCACTTCTTAATAATTACGATCGATATCAAAGATATCAAAGATACGATCTTCTTTGTCCATGCTTTTCCCAACTACCTAATTTAGGGTTGGTAGCTGCAGATTAGGCTGTTCATTACCTACCATCTGCCCTCCACAAAAAGAGATAAGTAGCATATTGTGTGATAGTCCGTCTGTTGTCACACTTCTCGACTATCTCATCTCATCATCATCATCATCATCATCGACTCATAACGGGGACTGACCAGTTAAGTACCATTGAATGAATAGGTAATATCCATGAATAGGCAATATCCATTAGCACTTTCTGCCTAATGCGTGATTGGAAGCTAAGATCGTTCAGCTAAGTAAGCCATCCTAGTGAAACTGAAATCAGCAATTTAGGTAGCTGCTGTTGAATTTATTTATAGCGAATATAAACTAGAGAAATATTTTTGCGAATGATTCATTCAACATAATATCTATCTACCATTGTGTCAAGAATGAAACGATTTAGAAGAAATAGCATTCGTATGACCGGCAAGAGAAATACCTACTCAGTACCTAATCCATGAACTAGGTACTTACTAGAAGATTTTAGTAAAACTATATTCTGATCATACTTACCGACTTTAAAATATATCCAGTCTATTTATTTTTTTCTATGAACTTTCTAGTAATTTCAGAAACGTTCTAATAATAAAAAAACCGGTTTATATAAATTGTTAAACAAAATTAATGTTACCTAGTCCTACTCTGATGAATATATTCCAATTCACCTGCTGAAGTTAGGTATATGTGACGCAAGACGCAACCATATTGTCGCATCGAGTCACACGTAGTGTATAAAGCAGGTACCTATAATATATGTGTAGGTGAAAAATTTAAGCGCATTAGAGAATCATTTCCGCACCCATGTCGCTCTATTGGATAGATACCTGCATTCCTACATTTCTCTTTGCAATATCTCATCATCAGCTATATAAAGAACTTTTTACACACAAACATAAACATAACATCACGCCTTTTATCCCCGAAGGGGTAGGCAGAGGTGCACACAGATGTAACACCCACTTTTCACTATTTATGTTATGAGTCCCATGTAATAGGGGGTGAACCTATTGCCATATACCGGGCACATTTGCAGACTCCGTGCTACTACTGAGAACTTTTTTAAAACCCAGAAAACTTTTCCCCGACCCGGGAATCAAACCCGAGACCCCTTACCCGGCAGTCGCACTTGCGACCACTCGGCCAACGAGGCAGTCAAGTAGGAACTCTCAGGGAAGTCAAATAGGTACTACCTACTTTATAAGAATACGGACTTTGAATTACATTTATAAGTATGTGTCTACTGTCTGTCCCATAGTAATAGTTAGGTAGGTATAGTAACAATACCGGTAGAGACGCTATTCAAATTGCCAGTGAATTAATTTCATACAATAGGCACAATCGGGTACGCAGATAAATAATAAAATTATTATTATGACAAAGTAAAGTCTAAATAATATATACTTTCACAGTAACAATAATTTCGAAAATATCATCCTAACGTTCTACATACGTTCTACAGTCAGCCACTATAGCGTGAATCTACTTTCGCATATAAATTTTTTTATTAACATTATTCAATCGCAATCGTTGTGGACTTGTGGTAGTACCGTGTAGCTGAACGTTAGCGTCATACATCATGCATGCATTTATTGCATAATGATGAGCAATTAATTGTAGATCGAAAAAGAAACGTCTGTCGGTTTCGATTTTATGAAAAAAATATATAGTATTTAGAAAAAAAATACAACATCTATTGTATAATTACTTCATAATATGCGTGTACATTTTTCAATGTAATGTAAAGTATCAAAAAGTCCACAACCCTCAAGCAAGCAAGTATCAAAATGAGTTCAGTCGGAGTAGTTTTAGAGTAAGCCTTTGTATATATATTTAGTTTTTAGTCAACTAATTTAGTTTGTCGGGTTGTCGGGTTGCACCTTAATTCTGTTTACTCATGTTTCACGACAACTGTTTGAATTGTGTGGTATTTCGTATTTCTATAATCAAGTAAATCCTAATAAAATCCATGTTTATAAAAAAATATATATATTATTTTTATTTCAAATGAATAATGAAATTATTTTAGTCGATTATCAATAGAATCAACTAAAAATCACGTCATTGTAACCTCTAAAATTTAGTTATTTTTCATCTGTGATGTGAACTATTTCACTTCGTTCGTGGGACGCTTCGCGCCGTATAATTTATTTTTTCGTATTATTTCTTTGTATTTTTCACTGAGAGACGAAGATATATAGTGACTGTGTTATAAGAACTCAAGACTATCACTTTCGCATAAAATTCGTGATATAATTATTGGCAATGTCAGGAATAGCGAGTGCACGTTTAGCTGAAGAAAGAAAAGCCTGGCGCAAGGACCATCCCTTTGTAAGCGACATAATTTTTGCAATGGATTGTCTTTCAGTTGTTTGTTTAGTGAAAAGTGCGTGATCAAGTGTCTTGTGTGTTTCAGGGTTTTGTGGCCAGGCCTATGAAAAATCCTGATGGATCTTTAAATCTCATGACATGGGAATGTGCGATCCCTGGTAAAAAGGGGGTTAGTATTTCTAGAAGTTTTCGAATCTTTTAAGTTACCATATCACTTCTTATTGCTAGTATACTAATTTAATGTAACTTTATAAATGCGTTATTTCTTATCAGAAGACCTAACAAAATGTATCTAACAAGTAGTAATAATTCTAAAGGATAACTTTTCATTTTACAGACGCCGTGGGAAGGAGGTCTTTATAAGCTACGTATGATCTTTAAAGATGATTACCCATCAAGTCCTCCTAAATGCAAATTTGAACCTCCACTGTTCCATCCTAATGTTTACCCATCAGGAACAGTTTGCCTGTCACTATTAGATGAAGAAAAAGATTGGCGCCCTGCAATCACAATTAAACAAATCCTTCTTGGTATTCAAGATCTACTTAATGAGCCTAATGTTAAAGACCCTGCACAGGCTGAAGCTTACACAATCTACTGGTTAGTACAAGACTTTAAATATATTGTTTATATTATGTACCAACTATACACTAATATTATCATAATAAATGAACTGGTAATCAAAGCTCTTGTTTTTCTTTCCAGTCAAAATCGATTAGAATATGACAAAAGGGTTCGAGCACAAGCACGCGCCATGGCAGCAACTGAGTGATGCGGAGTAACATCAATACACTCAAGTGGACTACTTGCCATCAATTAGCCGTGTTGCAGAAAGCTATTCATAACTAAAATAAGCATTTTTTTTTACAAAAGAGTAAGTGGTACAGGTGTGTAATAAAATATATCATGGAGATTGAATTGGATCATCTTACTATTAAGGAATGTGAATTAGCTCTCTGTAACAAAGCTGTGCAAGGTAGTTCATGTCAGTGTTATTGTTGAAATGTTCAATGACTTCAAGTATTATGAATTATCTATGAATAATTCAACAGTACATCTGATTTTATTAATATAGAGATTCCAATAAACATACAAGCCATTTCTTCTACTTGCTGTTCACATTATAGAAGTAATGGTTACTCTTAAGGTTCATTTTATTTATTTGTAAAGTTGCATTGAATAAACACTGAATAATGAGTAGTAAGGCTTAATATCATGTGAGTGTCAGACATCTTGATTGAAAATCTCATATCTTGATTTGCACATAGAACTAATTGTGAGGATCTACATGGTTATTTTAAACTATTTTTGTATTTTTATGTTAGTAACATTAATAAATTTCTCAAAAGTATAACATGTCATTGTGAGATTTGTTTGTTTGTATCTATCATATCAGATCACATTCCTAATATAAGTTTTGAACAATCTGTTCTTGAAATATTTTTTCCTAATAAGATCCTATATTCCTTATACAAAAAATAATACAAATGCAGGTTCCAACTAACAGCATAGTTACTAATACACTGGTAAAATTGATAAAATATTATGCACAATGTTAAAAAAGTAGGATATTCTGTTATATTCATCAGTAATTTAGTATGTAAGTAGTGTTATCTCATCACATATATTAGTGTAACCCCTGCAGTACAAGTTGAAACATGTCCTTTCTGCTATGATCAGCCATTACATCAAGCACACCATTTCCTTTTGGGTGAGAAGTAATCTATCCACAGACCTTGACATCAATTAATAATCTGGCACATCACTAGTACTAGTCCGGGAAGATATACTGCAGATACATTGGTAAAACAGCATTAGGAAGGAGCTGAGGCCTGTCTTTTAAATGACTAGTCTGCTGCAGCTTGCCCTATTTGCAAGTGTTCTGTAAGAGACCATTGCAAGTTTGCAGCTTTGCTTAGTACAACAGTTGACTGGGTGGTCTGCTATAAATATATCCTACGGATATTATAAATGTATGTTTGTTTCCTTCATGTCAAAACGGTTTTAAAGGGATCGGGATGAAATTTGGAACAGGGGTAGGTTATGGTGTGGAATAACACCTAGGATACTTCTTATTCTAGAGGAATGCGGGCGAAACCGCTGGCAGAAGCTAGTAGTACGTGTACAACATATTAGAAGCGAAAGTACTCGTGCGCGTCTTCAATATGCGCACTGACATGTTTCGCCGGGGCGAAACTCCGCTGCCACGCCAGATTAGTGCGTGGCGGGATGAGCTCCGGCACGATCTCATGGTGGAATGGCAGTAACGACTGTCGCAACCGAAGGCTGGCCTTGCTGTTATTGCAGCGGTAAATCCCCTCTTTGAGGAGTCGTTTGAGAAATGCTACGGCGTCCTTACCGACCGCCTGACGCAGGTACTTACCGTACATGGGAGTTTCGGGATGCACCAGGGCGAGAGGAAATACCCGGGTGTCATCATTGTGATTACTGCCCGGAGGACACGGTGGAGCATACGGTGGCGGTGTGCCCTGCGTGGGCTGAGCACCTCCGTGTGCACCTCCGCACCTCAAGGATGTTGTCGGCGTCGGCCCACACCGTAAATGCGGGTCTGCGGATGGCGAGCACGTTTGATTCGCCGCCCGACCAGAACCAGACCCAAGCATACGGAGCGTCGCGTTCCGCGCGTGCCTCAAAGAACCATCAGACCACCACAGATGGGGACCAGTAGGGCTGATGCCAGATACGGAGCCGCGGAAGGCCTGACGGGATGCCGTGGCTCCGGCTCGAAGAGCAGGAGTAGGAACGGTATGGTTTTTAGTCAGTAAGAGTCACCTAACTCAAGGCGGGAGAGGTTATTGGATGATTTTCTCCCCACAAAAACAAGATATAAAATATGTAAGTTACTGTAAGATATAGGCTAGCCTGTGCTTATGCGAAGTCGTGATTAAATCTTTGGTTCAAATGGTTAGTATCCAGTTCATAGACAACCTAAAAAAGTTTTTACCGTCTATTGCTATCTGTCATCATCAGTGTCACACTGTCATGTAACGACTGTCAGTGTCACTATCTAGTGTCAAATATTGTATACTTGTGTCTGTATCATCGTTTTATTTTGAATTGTTAATTGTAAATAGTTTTTATTAAACATCACTGAAAATCTTGTAATTTCTAAACTTTTAAATTTACTACTGTATTTGGTTTCACACTACACATAATGGCTGACGACGAGCAAGATACCAAAGAGTACCGGTGGGAGACAGGTTATGAGAAGACTTGGTAAGTTCCTATTTGTTTAATAAGATTATTTTTGTTGCAAAATTCAATCGGATTCGTTCCTAACGTCTAGTTATTGTTTAGGGAGGCTATTAAAGAAGATGAGGATGGTTTGGTGGAAGGATTGGTGGCGGAGTTTGCACAGAAAGCAGCTCGTAAGGCTGTTGTACCTCGTCGTGGTCCCGTCAGGCTGGGAATGATGAGACATGTTCTATTGGCTGTGGATTGTTCAGAAGCCATGAACTCACAGGATCTAAAACCATCTAGATTTCTTTGCACATTGAAAGTAAGTTGTGAGACTTTACTGTATTGTTCATTCTTGTTATATATTGAATCATCTAAGTGTAAATGTTTGTATTGAAAATAATAGGTATTACACCTTTTTGTTGAAGTAAACATCATATTCATAAAGATTTGAATCATATTAGTTTGTATAAACAAAATCAATATGGTTGAATAACATTATAACATAATTTTATTTCAGTTGCTAGAAAAGTTCATAGAGGAGTACTTTGACCAGAATCCATTAAGTCAACTTGGTTTAGTTTTAATGAAAAATAAAAGGGCTGAGAAACTTACAGAGCTGTCTGGTAATGTTAGAAAACATTTGAAAGCTTTACAAGGGTAAGTTTTATTTTATTTCATTATCATCAGCCATAAGCAAGATATCATCAACTTATTTACTTTGCTTATAATTTATCTTTTATAGGTTAACAGAAATGTCTCTTAATGGTGAGCCATCACTACAGAATACTTTGGAGTTCGCTGGTCGAGTCCTGAAACCCTTACCTGCACATGCATCAAGAGAATTACTGGTGCTGTTTGCATCACTCACCACTTGTGATCCAGGAGATATAAATATCACTATACAGGTGAATTGAAACAACAGTAATTAGAATGGCTTATAGTATATTAATTCTGATAATATCATATAATCTCACTAATCCGGCACTATTAAAACAGGGAGTTCACACTCACATCTTGGAGCCCGAATGGTTCCATACAGTTCAGTTTCAGAGGAATTTCCTCCGATTATTGAATGAACTCCCTGCCGTGGTTTTCCCAGTGGACTATACAACATCGGGTTCTTCAAGAGGGGAGTGAATAGGTTTCTTAAGGGTCGATAAGACGCATGTAATGCCCCAAGTGTTGCAGGCGTACATAAGCCACGGTAACCGTTTACCATCAGGTGGGCCGTGTGCTTTTTTGCCACCATCATGGTATAAAAAAATAAATTAAAAACTGGAGGGAGGGATTATTGAAATGTTGGATTACTGGAAAGTCATAGGTAATAATAAGGCCCACTGCTGAGTAAAGCCTCTTCTTGCACGGAGAAGGTTTGAGCATTAATCGCCATGCTTGCTCAATGCGGTTTGGCGATTACAGACTTATAATTAGAAATTTTAAGTCCAGGTTTCCTCACAATGTTTTCTTTCACAGTTTGTCAGTGGTGTCTAGAGGTAGATAATCTTAGAAACTACATATAACTCGGAAAAAGTCACATTGGTACTTGCCGTTGGTAGATTTCGATGCTTTTTGCTTCTTGTATCTGGTTCTAATTTGAAGGCTGGAGATATAGACTACTTTGAAATTGCAAACATAATTTAGTAAGTACAATACAAATAACTATAACATAACTTATTTCTTCTCCTTTTTAGGCTCTGAAAACTGAAGGAATAAGATGTTCAGTGATTGGTTTAGCAGCAGAAGTGAGGATATGTAAGAAGTTGTGTCAAGATACTGGCGGAGAATATGGGGTAAGTGTTTCATTAACATATATTTGTTAGTTCCTTTTTTTATAATAATGTAATAATATTTTAAGCTAGACAAGAAACAGTTTATTGAGTGAAGTGTTGTTAACATAAAACATGAAATTAACATCATGTATTTTTTTTCCATTAATTGTTAAGTCCAAGGCTTCAGACGGGCGTGGCCGGTTGTGAATGCCAATTTGAGGAAATCGAAAAAAGCTGTACTATTCTTGTTACTCGATCTGAGGCCTTAGTACGAGTTCGTTTTACGTTTAAAGTAATCGAAACGAGTACGCTTTCGGCGCTCTGATTGGCTGGTTGGTTGGAACCATCCAATCAGAGCCCCGAACGCGGTGTTGTTTCCATTCGTACTAAGGCCTTAGGTAGGGCACCACACCCAAGACTTCGTATTTGGCAATCAGACGTTTTATTTGACGATTAGTTGACTCTTGTTCTCTATTTAGGTGGTGTTAGATGATGTACACTATCGTTCCCTGTTACTGGACTCCACGAGTCCACCACCCCGAGCGCGGGCGTTGGATGCGGGTCTAGTTAAGATGGGCTTCCCACATTCTGCTCCACAAACCAACCAAACTGACCCCGGGACGAATGCTGATCCACCTATTACTGTTTGTATGTGGTACGTGCGGTAAACAATAATTTTGTATTTGTCAAGTTCCTTACGAAGCTGTACGACTATTTTCATGTGACTCCTGGAAATTTAGTCCTGAGTTACTGAGAAGGGCGCTGATATAATATAAATAATTTATTCACGAAGACAAAACAATCAATACTCGTTACAAGTTTGATTTCGCAGAAAAATTAAACATTTTCGTGTCTCATATTTTCATTTATCTACCAAGCAAACATTAAAAATATTGTCATCATTTCCTTTCTTAATTTTCCTTATTTTGTAGTCATCTAGACGACGGTGAAGGAGTAGGCGGTGAAGGGCACCTATGTCCGCAATGTCGCAGCAAGTATTGTTCGCTGCCAGCCCAGTGCCGGACCTGTGGACTTACCTTAGCGTCGGCGCCTCATCTAGCCAGGTACAATATCCAAATAAATATAGAACATTTAGAACACAGCCACAAGGTACCAGTTATGTCTTTTGTTTTTGGAGTATATTCATTTAATTTATCAAATAATCAAAATAATAGTACGTTTAATTACCTCTTGAATGATCAAGATGTATTTAAAGACAATTTTTATAACGTTTTGTTACTTTCTAGATCATATCACCATTTATTCCCTGTGGAGCCGTACGAAGAAGTAGCATATGAGGGACAAGCGCAATACTGCTTTGCCTGCCTTAGGAACTTTACAGATCTCGATAAACAGGTGAGCTGAGTTCTACATGACTATAGCCTAGGGACATTTGGGGTCTTATAAAATCCATGCTAAGTCCATGCTTTCAATTCATGCATTTAATTTAACTAATCCTTAAACTGTCAAACACCAAGCGGTCACCGGTGACCGCAACCTATTGTTCTATAATTGTGTCTACAAAACTGGTACTCGACGAGTTAAATAAGCACTTTTGGAATTATAAAATTGAATTGTCCGTCAGTCTGTGTCAATGAAATTAGGTGTTAGTTTCAAAGCATAGATTCGCATAGAGAAATGTTTATTTATTTTATTTATTTATTTATAAACTATGTACTTACTACTATCATGATAGGAACTATTACCTAATGCAATAGTGTGTGTTATTATTAGTCGGCTTGCCACTATGGTTAATAATTTTTCTCTTATTATGTCCTAGGTGTACAGATGTGGGCGGTGTCACGAGTTCTACTGCTGGGAGTGTGAGAGTGTGGTCTCCACGACGATACACGTATGTCCTGGCTGCGCGTCACGACCCCATCTCTACCAACGACTGCCTGACACTTCATGACCGCACCCTACAAGTATCTAAAATAATTAGGTTTTGCTCACATAGTTTTTTATCGAGGTAACCCGACTGGTTTCAAGCCACGCTGGGGACGCATAGCCGTGAGCAGCATTGGATAAACGACAGGGTGAGCGTCACGTGGCCAACTCAAAGCATAATTAATTAAATAATATGTCTCACAAGACTTACAAAACATATAAAAAAAATAGTTAATATAACCATTGGTCTCTGGTTGTAAAGTTTCCAATATGTAACGGCTTCTAAGTGATGAATTAAAAATAATATTCAGAATGTTACAATCTTGTTTGTTTTTTTTTTCTATAGTTCTATAAATGGGCCGGCTCGACCGGGGTGATACTACCGCCTCACAGAAAATCGACGTGAAGTAACGCTTGCGTTGTGTTTCGTCGTGTGAGTGAGGTTACTGGAGGCCCAATTACCCTCCCCTTCCCCAATTTCCCCAATTCCTGAATCCCCAACGATCCTCAAACTCCTAATCCCCAAAAGGCCGGTAACGTACTTGTAACGCCTTTGGTGTTCCAGGTGTCCATGGGCGACGCCGATTGCTTACCATCAGGTGATCCGTCTGCTAGTTTACCGGCTTATGCTATAAAAAAAAAACATACAGATCTTGATGTATAGATTCTAAAAATAGTTAACATAGACAAAGTGCCGGATTTATATTGTTTATGAGTGTAGGCCACTTTTTTCCGCCGTCTATTTACCTACTTACCTTTCTCAATTAATAATTTTCTATTTGTAGTTTACTGCGTTTAGAATGCATTAAAGTTCAACAAACAAATGAATTAGTCATTAATAACGAAGTGTAAAAAACCGACTTCAAAAATCCCTAAAACTATTAACAAACAAAAAGTAACTAAGTATTATTGGTAGGTACTGACCCACCCACTGATAGGTTAGAAGTCGGTGCCATAAGTTCTATACAAAATTATTTATTACAACTTTTTTTTGAGGGGGTAAATAATTTATTAGAACCTTAATAGATACCTCATTTACAATTTTGTGGCCATTAAGTTATATCACGATATGAGCCAAAAGCCCAGACTTAATAGCAAAATCATCTACAGAGTGACTTGTAACTTGACGTATTCTTATCAGGAGATAACAATACAACTAATTCTCTACAAAATTAGCCCGGAGGCCTCTAGTCCGAAAGTGGCTAGTTTTTGAGATATTCAACATTTTTAGTTTTGGTTAAAAAAATACCGAACTTACTATAAAAACATCAATAAATAAAGACTATTGGTCTTAGGCCGCACTGCATAAGTGCATAGACGTCCCATATGATTAACATGTGCTACTTCAACCATGAGTTAGTTCTGTCACCATTATTTTATTATATTTTTATAATAACTATCGTGAGAATTAACTAAAAAGATCGCGGGTTAATCACGTGAACAAACTGAGAAAAGGTCTACTAGTTTCGAACCACAGAGGGGTTCCTCCTCGTGAGCAGCGTGCGCGGTCGCGGCGATGTCGCGCCACCTACTGGCTAGCCGCTAGTAGAGCTTTTCTCAGTATATTTACGTGAGAGACCGTCGATTTTTAGTTAATGATTTTATTCGTTTAATTAAGGAAGACAAGAAAACGATATAATAATTTTAATTGGTTTATTTATATCACAATTTGGAATTTTCCGTGGCAATACAAAAATAACTGCTCTTAAAATTATAAATTACAATTTTCACAGGTATTTTGGAGACAAAATAGTTCGTTTGAGTAACATACTACATACTAAATGCAAGTAGCAATAGTTCATCTCCTTAGTTACTTTCACGTTACCTACTATTATATATTTCGCTTATGTTTTACAGGATTAGTTATATAGCAGTGTTTAATAATATACATATTGCCACATAATACATTTACTAATTTAAATACATATTATTGGTACATACAAGCTTCGCTCTCATAAAAAGCGATTTTAGGTCAATTTTGTAACAACCTAGACAATGAAAAGGATTTAAAATGTTCAATATACCTAGTTTATGGTGTTAATTATTGTACGTTACGATACATATTAAATACCTTGTCTATACATTGATAAGTACATAAATATTTTATTTCTATCCCTAAATAAACTTCTGCGAGTACATCTCTTAAGCGGTCATTTATATAAATCACAGATAAAAATCTCATTGTAATAGTACAATGGTATTTAATACCAACCGCGGTTATTTTTGGTTTTAATTCATCATTTTTATATTTATAAAAAATATTATATAAAAGGCAATCGTTTTGTATTTACGGAATAACCGTGTTAGTGAGAGTTTCTTAGCGCTACTCGTTTTTTGTTATTGTTTTTTTTATTGTGATAATTTACATACCTATTAGGTATGCGCCTTTTAGGCACCTGTCAACTTACTATATTAGTAAATACACATTAAAATATCACTTTACAGTAGCGTTACTTGTAACAGTGGTATAAAACAGCATTTCTTCATGTACATGATAAATTATAAAATATAGTATTTTTCACATTTAATAAATCTTTGCTTATAGCGAATTACATTTTGCGCCTTGTAAAGCAGTTGGGTACATTTAAATACATAATCATTAAAGTAAGGCCTGCGTTTATTACTTTCATGAGTGCTAAAGAAATTAGTCTTTTATCACAGATTACGAACAGCTCCATCGAGTGCGACAATATGTTGAAATATGAGGTATCTATTGAGATTTTGTCATTTTATCTACAGCACTATTAGATATACCTACATAGTATTGTTGCGTTGCGTGTATATCCAACATTACGTCCTATGTAACTAGTAGTCGACGTTGAACACTTGCTTAAGTACAACATACAATTCCTTCAGACCCTTTGGCTTTCTGTCGTCATTTTCTTGCGAGAGATCCACAATATGTTGGGTTTTTGGTAATACTGTTCTATTTGTAAGAGAGACTTGCCCTTCGTCTCTGGTAGGAGCAGGAATAGAACTATAGTAGCGAGTAGAGAGGATGCTCCGAAGAGTCCAAACACTCCCGCGATTCCTATAGCGTTCTTCATCACTGGGTAGAGTTTGGTGAATCCGAATAGTACTGAGTTGAAGAGGCAGAAGATGTAGCCGCCGCACAGTCCTCGGACCTTGGTGGGGAGTAGTTCTCCAATCATGAGTCCGGGGAGTAGGAAGAATCCGAGGGTGTTGAAGGCGACGTAGCCGAGGATGAGGACTGGCGGTGTGATCCCTGAGCCGGGGCCTTGGGAGAGCAGGAAGGACAGAGCGAGGGTACACGCGGCTGTGCCTATACCGGAGACCAGCACCAGGGCACGACGTGTGATGCGCAGCAGGAGGATGCACGCCACTACGGTGACGCCGAGCCGCACCAAGGCACTTGCGTTAGCTGCCATCTGAGGACAAAAAAATATGCCATTGAATATTTACTCTTACCTCATTAATTTTGTAGTTTCTTTTTACTTATAGTCTAAGATCCGGCTGCAGAATCAGTGTACCCATCGAGTGTTTGCTGAAAACCAAATTTTTACATATATTCATGATTAGGAGAATTTATATCCACCAGGTTGCCTATCAAAATGTGGCCGCTAGTATTTTTAATTAAATTATTAATCATTCATAATCCGTAAGAAATTTCATTGACTTTTTTTTTCAATGAAATGTCGTCTACTTTACGGCAACATCTATAAAGACTCTGAAAAATTATGGTTGCCGTTGCGCACCTGGCCGCACCTCTTCGCAGCCAGGTATACACAGGTATGAATTTGTTACATTTATACACCCACAACGTACATTTATAATTTATATATCAAATTAAAGCAAATTTTTTTCTGTATATTATTATATACGGTTGCTTAATTAAATCTGGCCGCCAATAAGGGTTGCTGGCTAATAAATATAGTAAATATTAAAAGTAGAGTGAAAGAGAGCTAGCGCGTAACACCACTAGTCACTAGGTACTACTCAAAATAATAAATACTCCAAAAGAAACGTCTTTCTTTTCTAAAATAAAAAATTAAAAAGTCAATGACAAATTTAAAAATTACAAAAAAAATGAATATTGATGATAAATAAAATCAAGGTTACTTATGTAAAAAAATTGTGTTGTACAAGTACTGTATGAAAAAAGATTTAATTTTATTCAAGTATTACATTTATTTTACATATTCATCAATCATCAGTTTAAGCAAATTATAAATTTTTAAAATGTATTATATTTGTATTATACTTCCATGACTCTTTTTTAAAAATCTGAATCATCGGAGCTCTCAGTCACACTATCATCGCAGCTATCACTTTCATCAGAAATATCGGTATCGTCGTTATTATCGGAAGGCTTGTTCGTGGAATCACACAGCACATTCTCAACTTGCGCTGGAGTTGGATCTCCCAGGAACCATGTTGGTTTTAAAAAACCATCTAACAGCAGCCAGCCATTATTTTCCGCGCTGAACTTGATGCAATCCCGCTCAGTAGCATTTAACCACATCGAATTAACAAAGATGGTTCGCAATAATTTTTCCTTTAAAGATTTCCAGCATGGTGGAATGTGCGTTGAGTCAAAACCTTTAATTCTTCTCATAAATTTCTCACTACTTCCTTTTGAAGCGTACATTTTGTTGAATAATAAAAATCTTGCGGCATTTACACTTTGGCACTTTGGGAGTTCATACATAAGGCACGTAAAATGTTAAATCTGACGCATGCGCAATGGCTTTAAACCGTCCGACAGCTGGCAATCGCTATCCTCGTCTGACTAGTGGTGTTACGCGCTAGCTCTCTTTCACTCTACTTTTAATATTTACTATATTTATTAGCCAGCAACCCTTATTGGCGGCCAGATTTAATAAAGCAACCGTATATAATAATATACAGAAAAAAAATTGCTTTAATTTGATATATAAATTATAAATGTACGTTGTGGGTGTATAAATGTAACAAATTCATACCTGTGTATACCTGGCTGCGAAGAGGTGCGGCCAGGTGCGCAACGGCAACCATAATTTTTCAGAGTCTTTATAGATGTTGCCGTAAAGTAGACGACATTTCATTGAAAAAAAAAGTCAATGAAATTTCTTACGGATTATGAATGATTAATAATTTAATTAAAAATACTAGCGGCCACATTTTGATAGGCAACCTGGTGGATATAAATTCTCCTAATCATGAATATATGTAAAAATTTGGTTTTTAGCAAACACTCGATTGGTACACTGATTCTGCAGCCGGATCTCGTACTATTAGGTAACTTTCCATCCATTATGTAAGTGATTACTGAAAAGCTATAGCTTTTACTAAACAAAATGGAATCCTATATTTATGGTGTCATGATACTTACGGTAGGTTGCAGAGCACCACCGGAGTCCTTCACAATGTCCACGGCATAAAAGATGACAACGTAGCTTCCAGACAAAATCTGCAGTATGTTAAATGCGTTGATCAAAAGCAGTGGTTTCAGCACTGGTGCTCTAGTGACAGTTTCTAGGAACTTTATCTTTTCTTCACCGCGCGCCTTTTCTTTCTCCCGAGCTGAGATCAGTTCGTGTAGTTCTCTTTGGGCCTGCAACAAAGATAAACAATGTTCCTACGTTAATTTCGTTAGCGGGTAATCTTCAAGTAGAATATGAGAAAAAGTTGCGTTGAATTAAATAATAATGAATTAAATTCAGTTTCCGGCCACACTGAAGCTCGGTACGGAGGTAATTTAAGGTGATGTCAGCCTACAATTAACTTTGTAAAGTCGCATAGTATGTTACATAGTTGCATTGCGTGGTAATTATTGCTTTATCAGTTGGTAATGACCCACTACCTAATAAAATAAACGGACTTAGATTATAGACTATGTAGTCTATTTATAGGTTAACGAAGTTCCTAGCCTCCTAGGTAGACTTCCGGGTTCTTAATAGGTTTCTATTAATTATGGTTGTACACACGGCACAATGTTCTATGTAGGTACATACCTACTTTATAATAAACACAGTTGTTTTATTACTCGTACAGTTTCTAATTAGAAACATAATACGTATAATTAACAGCTTTTTTACTGGCAATGTTTCCACTGCACGTTTATTGTCTGAATTTGTTTGTGTCGGCACATGTTCGAGAAAATGACATATCAATTGTCGTGGACCTCCTTCCTTGTTGAGCTCATTAAGAGGCCATTTTACAAGCAATCAAATGTGCCGAGGCTTTCGACGGTACAATAAACATAGCATGATATAAACAAACAGCTGGAGTCGCTAATTGAAACAAGTGTGCTTGTTGCTTGTGGAAGGTTCGAGAACCGGGAGTTCTTTAGACGTTCTTACAGGAGCTGAGATTATTCGCTATCGCACTGGACGAGTGCCTATGTTGTACATTTTAATGTGACATTTATGCTACATATGTCATAAATTAATCTATCTATACTAATATTATAAAGAGGAAAGATTTGTACCTATTTTTGTATGTTTGTATGTTTGTAATGAATAGGCACAAAAAGTACTGGGCCGATTTAAAAAATTCTTTCACCAATAGAATGCTACATTCTTCCAATTTGACATAGGCTATATTTCATTTTGAAAAAAAAAAATGTCTACCCCGCGCGAAGCCGGCACGGGCTGCTAGTATTACATATAATAAAATCGTAGAAAAGTCGAAACTGCACATTGAATATTTTTTTTTAAAGAATACTTGCGGCGTGATCTATGTATGTATGTATGTATGTATGTATGTATGTATGTATGTATGTATGTACATTCGATACTGAAGCCAAAAATATGGTTTATAGAATTTTCGTCTGTTCTGTTCTGTTTTGTCTGTATGTATGTCCGGGATGATCTCAAAATGTACTGCATGGATTTACTTCAAATTTTGTATGATTATTACTAACAAACAGGTCGGGTCAACATATAGGCAGGCTACATATTATCACGCTATCACCTACGGGGTAAGCGCAGTAAATCACTATTCCACGCAAACGAAATCGCGGGCACAGCCAGTACTATTATAAGGAAGTTAAAAGAAAAATCTTGGAAAGGGTGTGTCAGATAGTCTGGTCGTTTTGTCTAAGAAGTAATTTCGTAGCAAGTGTATTTTCAACTACCTACTTACTGTTTATGAATAATGTCGATAAGCGTGAGTACTTTACATTTCGAGATGTAGAAAATAATGTAAAAAGAGATGTAAAAAGTTAAATAGACTGCAATAATTTTGAAAAATACGAAGGAGTTTTTAAACACAACGTTTATTTGATTTTAACAATTTGTTGACTTTACAGACATTTAGAGCTTCATGGTTAGTTTATTAGGCAATTCGACGACCAATCCCATGATTACCAGGTTTTTTTAAACAAATGGCTGAATGCGACCGTTCAGACTGATCAAGCATGAATTTAGGCATTACGCTTGTCTTAAACAATTGTAGATTACCTGAGCCCAATTGTTCTTTAGAGGATGTTTACATGATTAACTTAGTAAGTCCCTACTTAATGATATTTCGTTTCAATATTTGTTTATCAGATGTTACCAACTCTTTGTTACCAAGTACCAACATACAATTATAAGTGTGGGAGAGCCATGCTTCGGCACGAATGGGCCGGCGAGACCGGAGTGATACCACAGCCTCACAGAAATCGACGTGAAGCAACGCTTGCGTTGTGTTTTGTCGTGTGAGTGAGGTGACCGGAGGCCCAATTACCCTCCTCTTCTTCCTTACTCTCCCCAATTCCTGAATCCCCAACGATCCTCAAACTCCTAATCCCCAAAAGGCCGGTAACGCAGTTGTAAAGCCTCTGGTGTTCCAGGTGTCCATGGGCGACGCCGATTGCTTACCATCAGGTGATCCGTCTGCTCGTTTACCGGCTTATGCTATAAAAAAAAACAATGTTACGAACCCTACCTAGTTACTTTCACTTTATCAAAAACATATCAACACACGTACATCTCTAGTTATTTCGTAAGTATGTATACGTTATACGTACCTACACATTCAATTAATAAGACTGCAACAACAAAATTGAGTTGATCAATTTGTTAGAAGGCGCCTCTGATTGTGTCCTTCTCGTAAGTTGTCGAACTCGTAAAAGGATTGATTAATTTTCGTCTTCTTGTTTCGTTTTATGAAACAACATAATGATGGTAGAATCCCAATTTTTTGTGTAGGGCTTCGATTCTAAGAATAAAGAGGGTAAGTAAACTCAATGTCCATTTAACCTCAACTTCTTTTTGTATTCATTATAAGTGAAGAATATGGTATGAGTTTTAATCGCCTCATTACTTTTTAACGCTTATCAAGCCAAATAATATAGGAAATAAATGAGTAATGAAAGATACTATTAATGCAATGAAGGTTTTTTTATAATAGTTACCTAATTAAATATATGTTATCAGTTCGTGTGCATAAAATAATGTATTGATTTAACATTTACTTAGGTGCCGTGTGTATTGACAAAACGATAACCTCCTCATAAGTAGCGGTAGGTATACAATATCTACTTAATGACTTGGCGTTTTTCAAGAGCATCAAACACTCACATGATACGTAGGTACAGTAGATATACACATTAAAATCAGATTAGCACATTTTTTATACCAAATTAACATTGCTAATATTGTTGATTTTGAATCAAGTTGCTATTATTGATTAGTTTTAGATATTAGGATATTTGCGTAAATCCAACACTATATTAGATTAAACTACTGTTATTAATCCACTATGTGACGTTACTAGATCACCAAGTGATATAAGTAATTGATTAAAGCGATTAATTTCCGAACCTGTCTCTCTGTCGTTTTGGCAATGACCTCGCTTTATTTTTGATAAGTAATTAGATACTTACAGTGTCATGGTCTCCGCGCAGGCGTGCCATGGCGGCCATGGCGTCATGGAATCGTCCTCGGCGGGCAAGCCATGTGGGGCTTTCTGGTGAGAGACACAGCGCGATGAAGGCGAGGGCTGGCAGTACTGTGGACAGATGTGCCACTGATCTCCACGGCAGGGCTCCTCCCAGCGCGTACACGTACAGCACTCCGAGCGAGTATGCCACGAACGGCGTGCCTATCAGTAACCCTCTCAGTCTTGGTTCAGAAATTTCTCCTAAATACACCTGCAAACAATGTTTATCGTTAGTTTTGCTAGTAGCTATTCAAGACTGAGATTGCAAAATATCGCGGTTGTCGTCATAAATGGGACAACTTGCTTGAGCAACTTAGAAAACGTGGGATTTAATTTTGTATTGCAACATCGACCATTTAAGGATCTTCTATTATCATATTTGGCAGAATTACCTGTGAAGGCGCCGCCATTATGCCGACAGCGAATCCGCATACGATTCTGCCCAACAGAAGCAGAGCGTGATGAGAGGCCGTGCCTATAATGATCCAGCCAATGATGAGGGGCAGTGTACACGTCTGTAACGTGCGCTTTCTGCCTATAGCCTCCATGATAGGTCCTGACAACATGGACCCCAGCGGTGTGGCAGCTGAGTGAATACTTGCTGTAACAAAGAACATAAAAAACTTGAATGCTTGTTTTTGCAGAACTCGATGTATGCGATATAATAATAATGTATGAATTACTTCTCCGGTCTGTGATTAATTAAATAACCTAATTGACTTATAAATTAATAGTTCTAATACCTTTGTTCATTAACCACAGTAAAATAAACAGAATGTACTTCGACACATTATTCTGCCTGCGTCTGCCTGCGTATCTTACTCGTATGTAGTTATTTACGTGTGTCACGAAATCATTTTAAATATGATTATATTATTATGTTGTCCGAATGTATCTACTTATTTGCAAATAACATATGTTATTTCTGTTTCCTACGTTGTCTGACATTATTATGGACGGGTATAAGTTTTTGCACATCATATTCATCATAATCAAGTAATGTTTGATCATGTAATTTTACTTTTGACCTTTGATCTATAACTTTGTACTTAGTAAAGCAATTTGGATAAGTGGACTTTGGGTATTATACGTAGGTGTACGTAGCGTAATAGCTACAACAAATTATCACCTGATTTTTAAAAGGAGGTCCAAGTCTTGTTATTATGGTCGATGGTCTTGGTCTTAGTCATTAGGTTAACTTTAATGTGTAACAGTCTACGTCTAGCATAAGGTTGCATAAGTACTAGTTCAACGAGATTTAAAATGTTGATCCTTTGAGTATGGAGCCAAATCTTAATCGGCTAATTTGTCAATTTTAAGTGCTTGTATCTAATACAAAGAATATTGATTTGACGGTTGAAGTGATAGTGGTAGAAGATAAAACATTACTTTTGAACTCTGTATTAATTTTGGAATGGAAATACTTACAAACCCGGGACAGTTTTAATATTATCCGCAATGTCTATTCATGTACCTATGATATTTTTGACATTGCCATTGTAAAATCACCATTGTGTGAATGTTTAAAATGTTTGGCAAATATTTTCTAAATAGATGTAAAGGACTTAGTCACGCTTAGATTCAAGTGTGGATAATTCTATACTTTGTTAACATTTACCAATTCATTTCATCATTGGCTGTCTTTAGCACGTTTCATATACTTCAACTCAAGTCCAAGTAGGTACTCGAACCGTTTGTGCAGTTTATCAACAAAAAGTCGGTCATAATGTTTGTTTTGACGTCTGTGGATTGTAAAGGAAAACTAGTCTACCTAATTGCTGGCATACCAAACCTTATCAATTCCAGATAATTAATAGCAAAAAGGAAAAAGAACGTAGTGAATTGATCGACGTGCTAAATGGACATCTGATAAATATGGCCGACCTTAACAACCATTGTTATTTATAGTGATTGATTACCGTTTTAATTTGAATGTTATCACCAAACTTATCGGAGAAAAAACATAAATGATGGAATGGCGATTGAAATTTTATAGCTTTGTGTAGCAATATTGCCATTCGCAGTGAGGTTAAGGATAGCCTAAATTTTGTTATTCGTTCGTCCATTATTCTTAATATGGCTTGTAATCCTTGATATTAAATGCAAAAATATATTTATATTTCGTAATAAGTAAAAAACTCGTATGATATGCAAATGTCTGACCTATTTTGGGGTCAGTCTGATTGATTGCAATGTTCTTGGTGTTAAAATAATTATAGAGAGTGGTTTAGATTTAGCACATCGATTTTGTTAACATATTGCGATTAGTCCTAATTGGCAATTTATCTCTTGGATACTTAGTAAAAGTATGTTAATAGGGTCGCAGATATCAGCTGATGGCTGCTATCACGCTATGATTACGATTGCGGTCGTCATCACACTTGGTCACATTCTCTGACCTCTATCACGTGTTTTGCGTATATTTATCCAGCTAGATTCTGCTGTATCCACACATGATTAGCAATTTGAAGTAGGCAACAAAGTTATGCATTACATTTTGTTGCTATTGTTTCTAAGAGCTAAAATTAAAATAAAGATGTGCGTATCAAATAACCAAAATTAAAGATCTAAATGGATACATAACTTTTCGTTCTACTGGGTTTTTAAGGAATTTGCAGTTGTAGCACGGAGTCAGGAATTGTGTCCGGTATATGGCAATAAGCTAGTGAGCTTATTATATTATAATTAAGGAGTGCCTTATGACATGGGATTCATAACATGAATAGTGAAAAGTGAGTGTTACATCGTACTAGAGTGTACGTAATGTGTCCCTCTTCATAGTCCTTCGGGGATAAAAGTTGTGATGTTATGTTATGTTTTCATATTATGCTTTCTAAATGTGCTTGTTTATCTCTACTCGTTTATTTACACAACATAATAAACGAAGCACGTGGCTACTGCCATTATCAACTAGGAAGGTAGTTAATTTTCATTAAAGACATGTTTTTTATACACCATTCAAAGACAATTGTTATTAATTAGCGTTAATTGTTAGAAGTCTTCATCAATTTAAATAATAATTAATTGTTATGAGTGAAGGATAAGAGCTTGGTATAAATAGGTAAGTACCTAAGTAAGAGATCGTAAATTACGCTTTGGCGATAAGTAGAATTAGAAAGAAGAGAATCACCAAAGAAATTATGGATAGATTCTGTGAAGGATGATATGAAAGGAGTTTTCAAAAAAGGAGACTGACCCTACATAACTTGGGATAAGATCAAGAAGAAGAAGAAGCAGAAGAAGACTTATGGTCCCATTTTAATCAACGTCTCTTAAATTTTAAGGAATCATTAAGCTAGAATAGGTGACACCTAGCAGCAAGGTCGTGAGTGGGAGTTTAGAAAGAAAGAAAAAATTGAATTTTAATTGTTCTCTTTACACTACTTAACATATGGTTTGAGAGTGTTTGATGAAAACAGGTTTTATTTGAATCCGAACTCTGTAGAGTTCATTTTCAATTGTATTTTTTTTGCAATAAAGTTCAAATCTATTTTAAAGTAGGTTTGAAGTGATTATTGGCGTCTGTACCTACCTATACTACTCGAGTTAAAGAGACGGTGTCACGTAACGACATCCGATGTTTACAGTAAAACACGTGTCGTGTGAAAACACTGCATTGCACGCGTCTTAGGAAGTCATGACTTGATTTTTTCAGATTTTTTAAATCATTTTTATTCAGCAAATACTATTCCGCGAGGCACCAGGTTACATTAACTAATTTTACGTTAACCCCTGTTTGTGTAGTTTTATAGACACCTGTTCAGTTAATAAACGTTTTCACTACAGTTTTCGCGCATTCGAACCTCATTTCCATCTCATCCCCTGACGTAGAGGCTGCAATATAAAGCCCAACGTTACACTGGTAGCTTTAACGTGACACAGTTGAAGGCAAATTTTCCACTAACGACGGTCAACATTCTCCGCTACGACGTTCAATGTGTTAAAGTAATTAATTCAATTGTATCAAAATCGCTTCTGTAATAAAAATTGATCTATTCGTTTCAAAGTGTAGGTACACGACTAGTACAATTTGGAGGCGAATAACCAAAAATCCCTATCAATTAGGTATCTACTCTTTTCGGTAAATCAGTTTTTTTTTGTTTGTTTTGTAGGAAGCACGTTCAGAATTGGTTTTGATAAGGAGCTTAGAATGCCGATGTAGAGCACTAAAGGGTTCAGTAGAATACTTACCAGTCGAAGTCTTACAAGATCATGTTTTGCACTTTGACTTCAGACACAATGTGGGTGACATTACCATGTCTCATCATTGTAAATATTATAACAACTCTACGTATTGTTTTCTGTTTTGTCTATTGGGAATACGTATCAATTTGTTGTTTATTCTTGCTTTTCCTTCTAGCTAGATCGAATAGGTACTATTGACTTATCCTCCTTACAAAAAGCCCCAATGACTATTTAATAATATTATCAAAACGTCTATATAATTTTGGTTAAAATTAGGTTCTACGTTTACAACTTTGGTGAGTCTCCAAAATACGTAGTAAGTTGACTAACATTTTTTTGGCTTTCCAGATTCATAAACTGTAACGCACCTTGATTTCAAATTAAACCATGGAAAAGGACATGACTAATTATAAATTATACATGGTTTTTTTATATTAAATCAAATCAAATCAAATCGAATCAAATCACTTTTATTTGTTAACATAGGTGCATACAGATATAGGTCTTATATATGGTAATAAAAAGAGCGCTATGCTATACCCGGAGGCGTACAAATTTTGGTATTTAAAAATGTCACTTAGGTCAAAATAAGTCAATCAATTAAAATGTCTAAATGTATTAAATGTCAATATCAAAAATTAATTTTGAATAAAATTATTTCAGTCATTCAAGTTAAATGTAACAAACAAATAATGTGATAATAATATAATATAAATAGACAACATACAGTAGTCAAAGTTTCGCAATTGCAGGTTAATAATTTATTAATAATTCAGTCACCAAGTATGTGGTCACCCAAAAAATATCGATATTGCAGGTCAATAATTGTGGTCATTTAAAAATTCCGTTAAGTTATAAAAACATTTGGCTATAAGATATTTTTTTAAATGTATTTTAAACAGAGTAGTGGGCAATTGTTTAATAGGTTTAGGGAGTTTATTATATATTATTGGAGCCAAACAAAAGATACTTTTTTGCATTAACGCCGTTGTTGATCTAGGTACGCACAGTCTATTGTTATCCCGTCGATTACGTATACAGATATCTGTTATCTTCTCGTACAAGTTGAGATTACTCTTCACAAAAATAGCCACCTCATAAATGAACAAGGAAGGGAGACTTAAAATATTATATTTAATGAAATATTGTTTGCAACTATCAGTCATTTTTAGGCCGAACATAGCTCTGATACATCTTTTTTGAGCTTTGAAGATAGTTTCTTTGTTGGTAGAATTTCCCCAGAATATTACTCCGAATCTCAGTATCGAGCCAACAATACCATGGTAAGCAGTTATCAGCGCATGGGTACTTATGATAGGCTTTAATTTTTGAAGGGCATAAGCAGAAGAACAAACTTTCTTATTTAGTTCTTCTGTGTGAGCTTTCCAGTTTAGACTTTTGTCAATAGTTATACCC